GAATCTCTTTGCATCCATCTCGATGTCACAACAGTACAATAGTTATATCAGCCAGGGCAACAACACATACATTTTTTGCATTTCTGAAATGCATTTTCATCATGGGCACTGTGAATGGTGTAGAACCACTTGTCGGGGCTTGCTAAAACAGCCATTAGAGCATGCATTACTGCTACATCGGGTGCCGACAGAACTAACCAACAACCTAGTTCCATCACACTTGATGTAGTTGTAATGGAGACCTCACAATTGGATCAACAGCTTCATACCCCCTAATGGAAGTGAAATTTGGAAATGAAGTGAGGTGGCTGTGGCTGTTACCGTAAATGATGTGCACTGTTCCTTCAAACCACTTGCAATTTATGGGTTCTAGAATTCTATATTTTGCTATAGGTTTCGTTTTGCTAGCTTTTTAGATTGCTGGATCATTTATTGGGTTATCCTAGATTTATTATATTATTGTTTCTAGGCTATATCCAATCATTCTTCTACACAATTTAATTATTTGAAACCCATTTCTCATTGCCTGCACTTTTTAATACTTTGGTCACAGTACAATTCAAATTTTTTTTTCATATTTTGGGTTTATTTTTAGATTGCTTTCAAAACAGTGTGGGTTTGGTTAATCATTTCTTATGGTTTTGTTTGTAATTTGTAGGAGGGACTTAAGACTAGTTTGGAAGCTTCAGTCGTTCCGGCATTTGAGATGTCTTGCAAGGCTATGTTTGAGCAAATTGATGTTGCTTTTCAAAATGGACTTGTGAAGCACACAGCTGCTATTCAACAGCAGTTTGATTCTACTTATTCTCCTCTAGCCATGACGTTGAGGGTATGTGTAGGATGGTTATCTTGAAAACAGCTATGATGAATTTTACCTTCAATGGGTTTTTCCTCCTATATACATTTTTCCCTTTCTTTACTTGGGATTCTATTTTTTATCTCCATTTGCAAAGATATTGTTACACCTTTGTTTTAAGCTGTGTGGCACTAGTCAAATGCAATTTAATTAGTTTTTATGATATATGGTTGAATAGTCTGTTTGTTCTTTTGAGAAGTGTGCAACACATTTCTATTTGCTAAATTCTTTCTAGGAGTAATCTGAACAAATTCTGATTATTTTTTGGAACTGTGTTTTAATTTTCTCAGTTGTTATTATAAGGAAAATATCCAGTTACTTTTTATGTCAGTGTAAGAATTGTTTTAACTTAGTTTAATAGGTTAGCTTATGCATTGTATTACCTATCTGACCTATGTGTAGGCTGATCGTTAATTTTTTGTATATATCTTTGATACAAGGGTTCCTATAAATGAATGAATTAGCTAAGAGATGAAATAATCTCTCTTGAGCACTTTTTTCATTTTTCTCTCTCAAGTTAGATATACATGTCCACAAAATGTTTGAATCTTGTCTTATTATTGGAAATGAGAAGCTAATTAATTATGAACCAAGATTCTGTCGTGCAGTGGGCGATCTTCACTACCTTGTAACATATATTAGTGGCCTTTCTTCTCTCTCTGCCTTAAACGTCTGGTTTGTCATGTTTGAATACTCAATGTGTAGTGTTATGATTACACAGGATACAATTAGTTCAGCATCATCAATCACCCAAACTTTGAGTGGACAATTGGCTGATGGCCAACGTAAACTGTTAGAAATTGCAGCTAACTCCAAAGTAACAGTGGATCCCTTTGTAGCACAAACTAACAATGGCATGCATGAGATGGTATGTTGGTTCGTCATTCCCTTTACTTTCTATTTTGATGAGTGTTCTTTCTATTTAATACTTTGAGATGACTTGCACTTTGACAGACTGAGGATCCTACCAAAGAACTATCAAGGTTGATAAGTGAGAGAAAATTTGAGGAAGCATTTACAGGAGCCCTTCATAGAAGTGACGTTTCATTAGTTTCTTGGTTATGTTCTCAGGTATGATGGACATATCTTTCTTCTGTTGACTTGAGTTGCTACTCAGAATTACTTTTTGTTGGAAATGGTGCTTAGAAACTAATCAAAACGAAACAAAGTGAAAGGGGAGCTTTTTCCTCTTCCTTTTCCCTAAATTCAAGGAAATGACAATTTGCTTCTGTATATTTCAATAAAATATTAAGTGATTATGAGGAAATATTGTTAACCTGTAGACAATTTTGAGTTTTTCCTGAGGTAAAAAAGATTTTAAATTTTTATGGGGTCACTACTAAAGTAAATAAAAACAATTTTAAATGTGAAATAGATTCCCAGTTCCTATAATAATTTGGGTCCAACTTTCTCTCTAACTTAAGAGAGGATGAGCCTTGCCATGATGGAAAGATTGCTGCCTTGTGACCTGAAACTCATGGGTTCAAATCTTGAAAATAGCTTCTCACTTGAGGGGGAAATGTTCTAAATGTCTACTTTTCCCACCCAGCATTAGTTGGGAACCTCAAGCATTGGACCACCCCATTTTTTATGTCTAATTGCATGTTTGGTTTGACATCGATCTTTTTATAGAAGGCGTCACTCTAGAAACTATGTTTGAATAATTTCAATTTTTCACATTCTGAAAGCACCAAACGAAACACACACTAAGTTCAGAGTGAACTCACATCTCATAAACTCATTCCAATCGCTCCAAATATACCAAAACAAAATCAAATCACACCTCTGCATATCATTACTGGTAAACACCTTTTTTATAGTTTGCATGATTAAAGTCCACTACAATGTATCTAATGAACAATTTTGTACCTTTTCCTATCCAGGTTGATTTATCTGGCATTTTGGCAATGGTGCCCTTGCCATTAAGCCAAGGAGTACTTCTGTCTCTTCTACAGCAGTTGTCCTGTGACATCAGTACAGACACACCCCGAAAATTGGCATGGATGACAGATGTGGCAGCTGCTATAAACCCGGCAGATCCAAGGATTGCAGCACATGTGCGGCGAATATTAGATCAAGTGTCCCACACACTTGGCCATCATCGGAATTTACCTACCACCTCCCCTTCTGAAGCGAGCACAATCCGCCTTCTCATGCATGTCATAAACTCGGTGTTGTTGAGCTGTAAATGATATTGTTGTATTTTATTATATGTGCAGAAATGTTAAGTATCAACTTTGGTTTGTAATTGTATAGATATTTAGATAGCTTGGAGGGGATGAAATGAACTACTGTACTTAGAGTTTTGGTACAATTGATTTGTGTGACATAGTTTCACATTTTTGTATGCTTATTATTTTACATTTTACCTTCGCCCCTTCAGTTGTCTTTATCATTTTTGGAGACATTATATCCTTCCCCATGATGGACAAGGAAAATTTTGACGGTAGAGGCTTCAGAGCATGCCTAGGTTTGCAAGGATATTTTGATCTGGGTTCATTCAGGTGACCATTTTCAAAAGACAAGTTGGTATAGTGCTTTTAGAGAACCGCAAGTGTAGACAAGAATTTTTTAGTCAAAACGAGTATTTTTGGTCATTTAGAACAGCACTTTATTGAGTAATGTAGTGTTCTGTATTGGATATTTCTTTCTCCATCCCCATGATTTCATCTTGCACCTCCATCGGTATGTAAAAAATAGAAATGCCCTTGCTTTCTCTCATCTCCTTCTATGTTTTGCCATAATTAATCCTTTTATGTTTGATCATCCTTCTAGTTGTGTCTTCCTTTAGTCTTACATTTTTTACCTCTCATGCTTTTTCTACCTAAAAGAAGTTAACATATCATAGTGATTTAAGTTCTTTTGGTCCTTTTGGTTTTCAGCAATAATTTGTGGATTGTGGGATTTGAAAGTGACTCCAGGATTTAACAATCCAGATTTTTTTTCTTTATAACAAAAAATGTCTTTGTATAATTTATTAGACATCTTAGATTATATAATCTGAATTTTTTTTTATAAAATTTTTTTTTTCATTCAAAACATTATTTATGAATTATGCAATCCAGAAATAAAAAGTACCAATCGGAAGAAAGGGGAGAGGGGGTACCCTGGTGAAGGAGGAAGAAGATGGAAAAAGAAGATAAAGATAAATGAGGCATTTCACAATTTTATAGAGGTGAAGAAGTTGCCATTAGGCCAAGATTATAGAACTTTCGGATTATATAACTTTTAGGGCTGTTTTGGACTAAGCTTGTAATTTCATAATCAAATTAGACCAAAAAGATTTGTATTTGATTCAGCTTCTAAGTTTTAGTTAACTTACTTTATCCAGAACTAGCTACAGAGTGTAAATTTGCTTACCTTGCTAGTGCTAGCTACAGAGTGTCCCATTGTATTTGGCATAGTGGCACACAGAAGTTGAATCAAATCTTTTTTCCATTCAAAGCAAAGCAGGTCATTAGATTTTTGACGCATTTTAAGCCATTTTTAGCTCTTCACCACCAATTCAACTATAATGTTATAACGTTATAATGTTAACGTATCTCATCTAATGATTTTACCCAGTGAGGCTTAAAATCTACGACAGATTCTAGGCATACGACAAAACCACAGAAATCACAAGACAACCTGCCATAAAGTAAACTACATACTGCAAACAACTGAAGCTCATTGGTGCTGAAATACCAATTTCCAGTGTCTGCTTTTTGGTTGTTTCTTTTTCTCTTTTATACACATCACGGGGAGACCAAATTATCAGTGAAATAAGAAGTTTGACCCTATATGAAATGTAAGTAATGTATTTTTTTTATATCTTATTAAAAAAGGGGTAATTAAATTAACTTTTAACTTAAGTTTTGAATTAAAAATTGATTTTTACAGTAAACCCATAATCATTAAATTTTTTAAGATGTTATTTAAACTGAAATGTGTAGTAAACAATTTAATTCGTAAAAAAAAAATTTATTATTAGGGTAAAAAAAATTATATCTATTTATTTTTAAAGATTGAAAATTAAAATGTATTGAAAGCTTCAATTTTTCATCTGAATTTTTACATAGTTTATTATATATGATAAGATTACTTAACTTTTTGTAATAATCATTTAATACTTGACATGTTGTTTAACTAATTTGTCGTGTGCAATTAAAATGAGAACAAAAACTGATGTAGGGTGAAAGGATGCATCCAATCTTTTGCCATGCTTGAAATGACCACAAAAAAAGAACATGAAAAGATGTAGTTGTTAGGTTTGGAAGTTGAAACATATTACCACCACCCATGTTTAGTTGAGAAATAAGAAAGCTACTAAGATGCACAATTTTTGTATTGCTTTGATGGACTCTGTGATCTTTCCTTTTCCAAAATTAGGAACGCTAAATGAGGAACCATCTCGTATCTCACATGACATTGTTGGTGTCCTAGATAGGACCGCAACAGAAGGGTGAAGCAGATGCACATGCACGTGTGCATGTGTGTGATTAATATTACGGTATTCTATTCCATGAGTTAGAAGATATATACAGTTTTACTTTTATCTCTCTATAGTATTATTACCTTACCATCTTCCAAATTCAAACATGGATGCACGTGCCTAAAATCCCTACATTTTCCTTGTCCTCAACCTTCCAACCACTCAGGTACTCAACTACGTACAGATCATGCTTAGGATTATGATCTTTTCTTTAATCATCTGTGTACATGAAAAATGGTTTTTTTTGTTTCTGTTTACAGCAACATTTTCTTTAACACATGTTTTTCTTTGTTTATTACAATCTCGATCTTAGTAGTACAACCTTTGGATGTGTGTTTTATACGTTTTTTGTGTTTGATTATTGAGAATGTGTCAAAGGGGTATTGGATTTATAGTAGTTGATAATGATTTTTGGTGAATCTCTCTCTTCTGCAGAAAATATATAAATGGAATGGGAGAAGAATAAGAGAGCACGAGAAGATGATGGAATCGAGATTGAATCTTCTTCTGAAAGTAATATCAGTGCAAAGAAGAGAAATGCATATGGAATAAGCTTGGCGAAGGAGAAGAAGAAGGAAATGGAAGAGGAAGATTATTTGGAGGCATGGGATTCACACTTGGCAATGGGAGTGTTTGATTTTCCTTGGCTGAAAGATGGTGTCATATCAAAATCAGATCAATGCTTGGATTTTGAAGACAATTTCTCATCATCTCTAGAACACCAAGACACTCTATTCAAACAGAATGTTGATTTCTCTGCAGAATGTGGCTTGTGTATAACTCCAGAGGTACCAATGGTTCATACTGAAGACGCTGAATTGGTAGAGGATTTGTGGCAACCATTTGAGAGTAATGGGTTGGAGTTAGAAGCAGAAGATGGAGATTCTATCTGGAACTCTCTTCTCAATAGGCCTCTTTGACAGAATTTGGATTCTTTGTATCCATAATTCAAGAAGTTCTTGGGATTGGTGCTCAAGATTTTGGAATAAGAAATGCAGTAGATGTATATATTGGATGAGTTCTATTCATGGCAGACATGTTCAAACTCACACTTTGATGATCTGAAAAATGTCAGCAAACACCAAAGGTAGAGAGAAATTGGCAACCAGCATTGGATATTATTCCTTCATGTTTATGGTTTTCAGTTACAATCATGGATTTCTGAACTTAGGGTTTAGTGTCTATTCATCAATTCTAGTTCCTGACCAATTTTTGTTACACTTTTTTCTTTGATTGTCCAAATAAAATTACCTAGACTTGTATTTTGGTCAATTATAAAATGCTTTATTACACGGACTTGTGTTTATTCAACAATGATCAGTATGCAGATTCATTCACTGTATATTCTGTGCAGGAGATGTATCGTATACCTTATAGAATATTAAAATTTAAACCTAGAATCTTATGGTGATGTCTGCAATGCAGGACCAGATAATACTGTCCAAATTAAGCATGGGAGAGAAAAAAAAACTTCAAATTCAGTTTAGACAAAAGGGAATTTAGTGAATATGATATTGATTACAGAGTTAATTTGTAGTTTTGAGGAGTTACTGTATTGAAATGTGTGCAATGTTTGACTGTTCTAGGGTTCAAAGGTTGTCTAACTTTTTTTGGAATCATCAAAAGCAATATTTACCTCCCTTGGCTTTTGATTGCATAGAAGTGTGTGCTATCATGGGATTTTTCATCCATTCTTATTTCCAAAGCATCTGAACCATTAGATGAAGATCCGACTCTCACATTTTATAAGTATAAAAGTTTATTCAGAAAAGCATCTTAAAACAAAAATAAATACCAAGACAAAATTAATCCAGTGCTTTTTTTAGTTGTGTATTTCAAATTAACCAATTTATAATATATAACTGGTACAAATTTCACCTTTCAAATCAGCAGAATTAAATTAGAGTTTACTTTTTAACATAAGTGTTAAGTTAGAGTATATCTTAATTATATTTATATAAATAAATTTTTTCACTTACTATCAAACCAGACTTAAAAATTAAATAGAGATAATTATTTTTCTCTTTTAGACTTAAAAATTTAATAGATATAATTATTTTTCCCTTTTATATGTGTAGTGATGGACATAAGCCATCATATGTTACCTTCAAAATGATTGAGTGGGGCTTGCTGTAGATCTGACTTAATTCCATTTTCATCCTTCTCAGTGGAACCATTAATTGCTTAGAAATTTTAAAAATGGAAATCATGAATGTGTGGATAGAGATGCATTTTTATATAAATAATTAAAAAATGTAAAATATAAATAACATTTAATAGTATAATTTTTGATTGAAGATAGAGATATGAAAAGTGTTGCATCGGTTATGATAAAGAAATAGCACTATGGTTTGATAGCATGATTCTTTATGTTTGTTGAAAGGTAAAGATGTGACTTGAAGAGTAAGTTTTGTATATAATAATGTAACATTTTCTCGGACAAATCTCAAATGGCAACAAAAGAAAAGTTGAATTTTGAATGTGAAAAAAATAATGAGTTACTTGTGGCTACTGCCATGTTAGTAAGGACAATGAATATGCCTAAATTGAAGTTGTTGAAAGATAACCAAAATAAATATAGAAAAAGGAGAATAGTTGTTGAAACATAAAGAAAAAGAACAAAAAATTATTATATTAAATTCTTTTTACATTTGAAAGATTCTAATCGCTTCTTTTCCTATTCTTGGACTAAAAATGCATCGCAAATTCAAAACTCAAAATGATGAGGAAAACATAATTGAAAATGTTTAGTACTTTTGCTTTGGTGGATGGTTGCAATCTTTTATTGTGCCGACACCTAAGGTTTCCATTATTACCTCCCAAAATGTAAAGCAATAATTTCTGATTTTCATATTTTTACAATAATAAAAATATTCTTACAATAATGTTGGAAATCCTGCAATAATTCGAGATGGATTAATTAAATAGAAACAAAGTTAGTTTTGTAAAAATAAGTTGAATTTAAAATGAATAAATAATCCATATTTTACCGTTATAGTGTTACTAAAGTATTTCAATTGTAGAATATATTTAGTAAGTTATACCTGATTTTATTGTATTTATATTTCTATTTTTAAAGTAGAATATAATCTCTCAAGCAATTTAGATAGATTTTCAAATGTATTAATATTTTACTACTATCTATTCAACATGATATCTTTTTAAAATATATAAATTTAATAGCATATTAATAAACTTTAAACCTTTTTAAGATCTAAGTGTTTGTTCATTCTCCTTTAAACAGTGTGATAGGATTATATTCTCATGTTTTTCCGAAATGATTTATTTGTAAACATTAATAAATTGATAAACGTATTTATTTGTAAACATATTTTTATAGGTAAGTTTGATCATTATTAAAAAAATTACCGTTAAGTTCATTTAATCAAGTTCAATTTGCAAGTGAACTTTCTAAAATGTCGAGCCTAATCATTCAATTAATGACTGACAAATTATCATACAATACAATTTCAATTAAACAAATGCAGTAAATTTTATTATTTTATAGACGAAGTTATATTATTATTATTTTATTTCTATAAGCTAATTAATGAAAAATGTTCATATTTTGAAGATAAGATTGTGTAAGAAGGTTTAAATAAAATAATATATTTTTATTGTTCCAAAATAAATATTTGTACAATTATATGTGAGATAATTGACTCAAATGGAATTGTAATGGTTAATTTGATTTAGATTATTGAAACTTACAAATGAAACTGAATCAATACCAATGAATAAAAATGAATTGGTTTAATTTTTTTTATGGATTCAAACTAAACTGTTATTGAGACTTTTATGTATAGCCTTTTTTGTTAATTAAAAAACAACAAAATAATCCAAAAAGAAAACAGACAAAGTGGCTGTAATTAAAAAAATATTTTCAGCCAATATTTAACAATGTTTTAAAAATAATAATTAATCACATATTGTGTGAGATTTACAAATTACCCTGAAAAGAATATAAATAAATATTCTTCATGCAACTGCTACTATTACAAGAAAAAATACTCTTTGTATGTTTTTGTAATAGTATTGAACGGAAGTATTTGCCAATTTCATTAAAAAAATATATTTTTTAACTAATTTTTTCTAATTACAAAATTTTAATATTTTTAATAAAACTTCAAAAATCCACTTAAAGTTGGTAGAAAAAAAATTGCATATAAGATAATAGAAAAACTTATTACAACCCACTTTTGTATAATTTTTTGAATAGGAAAAATGAATATCATAACTTAGTAGCTATTCTGATTTATCATAATAAAATTTAAGTAGTTTTAGCAATAAATAAAAATTAAATCTATAATAATTAATAAATGTTTTGTAGAAAAAAAGGGAAAGAAGCGGCAGTCACGCGCGTCAGAGTGGCCAACTAAGCATCACATGTTGTACCACTTCACGCGTACAATAATTACTTAATTAATTAATTAACTAATCAATTAATTTTACCACTGACAAATCATGCTGTATGATAAACTGATTTTGTTTCTATAGTAATCATTTCAAAATTTTAACATTAGTTTCTAAATTATTGATAAACAAAATTTTTTACGGCAAAAAAAGTAAAGAAATTACACTTTCGTGGTAATCCATTTTTTAAAATTATTTTAAGATACATTTGACTAAAATATTTTATCATTAAAAATTAATAAAAGTCCCATTTGTAAACTGTGACTATTAAAAAGTAATTTCCATTGTTTACAAAAAAAAAAATCTTCTGCAACATTTTTTTTCTCCGTGACATTATATTAAATGGAAATGTTATTATATGCTAAGAAATTTTATATGAATTTATAATATTTTTGCAATAATTAGATTACATTAAGATTGTATGTAATTGAAAAAGTTTCCGTTAACAAATAGTGATAGGCGACGAAGAAAGAAGAAAGTTGTACGTTCGTTTTATTGTTCTTGTTCTTTTTCTTCTCTCTCTTTCCTTTTCTCCTCCATTACTTTGCTCTGTTCTTCTTTTTCTACTTCTCCTTCTTCTTCTCTCCTAAGTCGTTTCTCTATCTCTCTACATTGATACCATGCTAGAAGCAATTCAAAGAAAGATCGCAGGTTTTCGAAAACGCGTATTTTCTCTTCATTCAATGTAACTGATTCCTTTCTTAACTCTCAGAGGCAGTTTCCAGCATACCCAGAAGAAAGGGAAAGTGGGTTTTCTTTTCCTCTCGGAAAGTTTCCTTCTTGGCTCCTGTCTTCTCGTTTTCTTTATCTCTGTTCAAAGGGTCTTGTCACTTTTTCTTTTGTCTGTCTGGAAAAAAAAAATGGTGGCGGTAAGAAACATTGTGTTGCTGTTGCTGTCCATTACTGTTGTGGCTCCGATTGTGCTCTACACTGATCGCCTGGGCACGTTTGAGCCTCCTTCTGGTGAGTTTCAATTGCTTTTCTTTCTCTGAATTCATTTGCTTTGGCTATTTGCTAATGGTTTTGGTTTATTTGTGTTGGTTTTTATTCATTATGCAGACAAACAGGAGTTTGTTGAAGATGTTACTGCCTTTGTAAGTGACCGTCTTGAAAAAGATTCTTCAGTTGTTTTAGTCAGGGTCAGAGAGGTAGAGATTTTTGAGTTTCTGAATCTTCTTTTATTTTGTTGTGTCAGACTTTCAGTGCAGCAGACTCTAGGCACTTGAATCTGCTGCCGCAGGTATTGTCAATAGTTCCCTTCTTTTTTTCTCTTTGGTGTTGAATCTGTGATAATTTGTTTTTTATTGATGAAATATCTTATTTTACAAACAGGAAACTTCAACTACCGTTAAAGAACCTGTTAGGGTTGTGTATACTGAGGAGGATTCAATTAACAGAAGGAATTTCCCTCGAGGTACTTTTCTTTTGTGGTTTCTCTGTGTTCTTGAGTGAGGTTTTGGGTCCTTTTCCCCTCCGTTTCTAAGGTTCTTTATCTTTTTTGTCATATTTAATTAATGACATTCACTGTCATGTTGAGCTAGGCTTGCAATTGGTGAAATCAAGGGAGCATTTATCTGCCAGGGTGCTGTCTACTACAACTGATGAAGATCAGACTAAAAAGGAGAACTCCATTAAATTGGTTACTGATGGAATTAGACAAGGAAATCAAGTGGGTAGGTCCTTGGAAAAAGGTGATGGTACCGGTGAAAATGTAAATGGTGAAGTTGCTATTGATGTTGATAACAATGATGGGAAGCTGACTAGATCAACCAGTGTTTCTACTCAAGATCCTCAAATTAAGGTCGGTGATATATTGTGCTTTTGTTGTTTTATATGTTTGTGTTTTCATTTTTGTGTATATTGCTGACGCATTCT